CTATTATTAGTATTTTATTAATTATTTAGATTTAATATTTTGTAGCTAGAAATCAATGCTAACTTATGTTGTGACTACGTTTTTCATATGTGTATGTGATACTGTTTGCAAATTGCAACATGAGAAGAGAATGGAATATAGCTTAGACAATCCTTGGGGACGATCTTTATACTCTCATACAAATGCTGATTATATACCAACAGTAGGTACACAAAAATAGCATTCTTCAGCTCCAATACTGTATAGCTGGTGATTTCAGAGGAGCAAATTTTTGGCAAATTGCTCCACTTTGGTGATTGGCAAGTTTTAATTTGGCAAATTTCTGGCCATGTGCCATTGAACAAACGCATAATGCAATTTTTTATTTTAGCAAATGGGCTTCAAAAACATCTAATTTTCTATCCTCCAAAACTACCAGATTTTCTGATAAATATTGATATACTTATGCTATGTAGAAAGTTTGAGCTGATTCTGACTTAAAATTTTTTGTGAGCTCTAACAATATTGATAGTGGAATTTACAGTACACTTGCTTGTAACTGCTAAAATCATTTGTAACAAAATTTGGTCGAAGACCTTGTACTATAGTATATGGTCTTTAGTGAAATTTTGGGCAACTCTAAAAATTCAAATTTTGATTAGAATCAAGTCAAAATTTGCATGTATACAACATACATGTAGAAAAAGTAATGAAAGTAGAGATCTCCTTTCTAGTGAAATGTATTACAGGAGTATGTAAGGTAAGAATATTAATATTTGCATAGGCTAAGTGAATTAAATTAAAGGGTAACTTCAGTGCATTTTTGAGATATTTTTTTTATTTGCTTAATATGATTGCCTGACCATACTAATGATGTGTTCCAACTCCCATCGTCTGAAAAAAAAATTATTCACTGAGATATGAGCCTTCAAAAATGTCCATTTTTCCTTCCTGCCACGTTACTTCCTGTCGATGGGTGTGGCTAAACGTGACGTCGCTAGAGAGATAGCTGCAGATAACTCCATTCCTTTATAGGGGGAAATAATCCTTTATTCTCATGCCTTGAAATGTAGTAGCACCATTTTAAAAATTAGGACCATTAGCTTTCATTATTCTAAGCATAAAACTGCAAGAAAAGTACACAAAATAGCTAACAAGAAGGTTTACCAAAGTGTGGTATTATGACTTTTTCTTGCAGTTCCATGCTTAGAATAATGAAAGCTAATGATTCTAATCTTTAAATTAGTGCTATTACATTACAAGCCATGAGAATAAAGCATTATTTCCCCCTATAAAGGAATGGAGTTATCTGCAGCTATATAAAGGAGAAATAAAGAATGTTTACTGTAATATGGAGGAGCTGTGTGGTTTAGGAGGAGGATGGACAAGACTAGCATATCTGGATATGACTGACTCTACACAGAACTGTCCTCCTGGGTTTTAGACTGTACCAGTCAGGAGGAGTTAAAGTTTGTGGTAGAGCAACATTATATGGAGGCACTTGTACATCAGTTCAGTTTCCATTTAATGGTATTAGTTACTCTCAAGTGTGTGGTAAAGTAGTGGGATATCAATATGGATCACCTAATGCAGTTTATCCAGGCAATTACCAAGGTTGGACATATGGTAGTGTCATTAAACCAACTCACAACGATATTAATTCTTATTATGCTGATGGTGTTAGTATCACTCATGGGTCTCCTCGTCACCATGTCTGGACACTAATGGCTGGAACATTTAAATCCAGTAATTCTAGTTACAGTGGTGATGGCAGTTTTAATTGTCTTTGTTCTCAAGGTAGCCTTCAGAACTCAACTCTTCAGTCTTTCATTGGCAATGACTACTTCTGTGAATCTGGTAATCCTTCTACTGATGGTACATGGCAGCACATATTCTATACATCTGATCCATTGTGGGATGGTAAAGGATGTGGTAGTCTTGAAGGTGATTGTTGTGCAGCTCCTGGTCTTCCATGGTTCAATAAGGTACTAAACACTACCACTACTGACTACCTTGAGCTGAGGGTATGTGCTGATCAAGGAACATTCAATGAAGATGTTCCTGTTACCTTTTATGAACTATATGTTAAATGATTTACACCAAAATTTGTTGTTGATTGAACATTAGTATTAAGAGTAGTATAACCCCCACACAATGTTACAGTGACAATAACACAATTTTAATAATAATAATGATTGCCAAGTTCACAAACACAATAATCATGATATCACTACTAGTTTACTACTATGATTGGCAGCAAGAGGTTGGCTAGCACATAATGTTTATTCACATGCATTGGATGTACAAATAAAGTAGGTATGAAAGTTGGAATTAGAAGCAGCCAGGATGAGGGTCAAATGTAAATTGCAACTGCACCATCTAACTATATTATTAATTACAGTGTGGGACAGTGGGAGGGTGGGTAATTACTAGTGACCTGTTTATTAATGAGCATGTAACCTACATTAATTGGGGCAAGCCTGAGCAAGCCCCACATAAAGGAGACAAGTATGTTTGTCTGTCTGTAAACGTACATCACCCCTATTTATGAGTAATAGGTAGATGCTACGCATTTAGAATGCTATATAAATTCAGTTTTCAATAAATTTTCATTAAAACTGGGAGTAGCCGCAAGAAAATAAAATGGCAACCAATAAATATTCAATGGTGACAATAATCAAAACACAGCAAAGTGAAATTGTATTGTAGTATCTGTTGTAAATATTTACCACAGAAATGTAGGAAATTATTATAATAATTTCCTACAATTCCATGGTAAATATTACAACAGATACTACAATGCAATTTCACTTCGCTGTGTTCGTGTTGGATTTGCAGTTAGGAAGCTAGAATGTATTAATAGTAGCGCATGGGAGCTCAGTTTCCTATATAAGTTAACTATTCAAACCAGCTATAACAGAAATACAATGAAGCCTGTGCTATTCTGTACTATTGTGCTAAATCTGCTAATAATCAGTTCAGCCTCAGTACCTCTACAATCCTGTTCTAATGGGGATAGAATATCATCTTGCAAGGAAATAAAGAAGTATTGGCCAAACAGTTCTTCAAAGAACTACAATATTTTATATGAAGGAGAAATAAAGAATGTTTACTGTAATATGGAGGAGTTGTGTGGCTCAGGAGGAGGATGGACAAGACTAGCATATCTGGATATGACTGACTCTACACAGAACTGTCCTCCTGGGTTTAGACTGTACCAGTCAGGAGGAGTTAGAGCTTGCGGTAGACTAATATCAAGTGGAGGCAGTTGTACATCAGTTCAGTTTCCATCTAATGGTATCAGTTACTCTCAAGTGTGTGGTAGAGTAGTGGGATATCAGTGGGGATCACCTGATGCAGCTTATCCAGGCAGATACCAAGGTGAGACACCTGGTGATGTCATTGTTCCTTCTCACAATGATATGAATTCTTATTATGCTGATGGTGTTAGCATCACTCGTGGGCCTCCTCGTCAACATGTCTGGACACTAATGGCTGGACTACTTGAATCTAGTAACTTTACTTTATTCAATGATGGTCGGTATCTTTGTCCTTGTTCACAAGGTAGTCCTCAAAACTCAACTCTTCAGTATTTCATTGATAATGACTACTTCTGTGAATCTGGTAATTCTGATGCTAACAGATTTTTTCGAAGAATACTTTATACATCTGATCCATTGTGGGATGGTAAAGGATGTGGTAGTCTTGAAGGTGTTTGTTGTGCAGCTCCTGGTCTTCCATGGTTCAATAAGATACTAAACACTACCACTACTGACTACCTTGAGCTGAGGGTGTGTGCTGATCAAGAAACTCGAGATGAAGATGTTCCTGTTAGCTATTATGAGCTGTATGTCAAATGAAGAGGATATACTTTCAACATTTCCATACATGTAATATTGTGTGCGGTAGTGAATCATTGTGTTTCCTTATTGTTGCCAGGAGCCCATGAAAGCGAGGGTTGGAGTGCGAAACTCCCATGCATTTGATTGAAATAACTGCAAAATCTTATGCCTCCATATCTTAATGTTGTTACTATTAATAGTATCAAAACACGCCTTTAAAACCACACCCACAACAATAAATAGATGCTACTCTAGAAATTAACACAAAATGTTTGAGTGAAACGTGATAGGAGATAAAAGAATACATGGCCTGTTTGTGTTATTGACAATAAAAAAATCATGAATAAACTATACACTATTCCCTGTGCAATTGATACACTCCCTGCACACTGTAGGCAAGACTAAAAAATGAAGAAACACAGTGCTACCACTGCTGCTATTGTTCTATTCCTCTTCATACAAGTAGCCAATGGAAGGCAGCTCCTCCTGGCTCTAGAAGATGAATTCAACACCTTCAACCTGAGCCTATGGAAGCATGAGATTACACTATCAGGAGGTGGTAACTGGGAGTTCCAAGCCTACCTCAACAACCGCTCAAACAGCTATGTGAGAGATGGGATACTCTACTTGAAGCCCACACTTTTGGAGGATCAGATTGGGTTAGCTAATGTTAAAGGACAACCTAATGGGTTTACTTTCAACATTTGGGGAGGAGCACCTGCTGATCTATGTACACAGAATCAATTCTATGGATGTGAACGTGTGGCAGGCCCAGCTAATGAATGGAGATACTTGAATCCGATCAAGTCTGCTAGAGTAAGGACAGCAGAAAGCTTTAATTTCAAATATGGGAAAGTCGAAGTAAAGGCCAAGCTTCCAATAGGTGATTGGTTGTGGCCAGCTATATGGATGTTACCCACTCACCAGCAGTATGGGATATGGCCTTCAAGTGGAGAGATAGACATCATGGAATCAAGGGGCAATAGTGTGGAGGATTACCCTTTTGGAGGCTATGAGAGTTTCGGATCAACCCTTCACTGGGGAATTGACTACCTCCACAATTACTTTGATCAGACCCACGTTACTGTAACACCAGCCGCAAACTTGACTGAAGAGTTCCATGTGTACGGCCTTATATGGAACGAGACATACATTGGTACTTATTTCGATGATGAGTCCAATATTGTTCTACACGTACCAATAAACCAGTCATTCTGGTCTAGGACCGGCCTAGAGTCTCCACCTTGGGACAATCCTTGGAAGGACACAGAGATGAATGCTCCCTTTAATCAAGAGTACTACCTCATTATGAATTTAGCTGTGGGCGGAGTCACTGGGTTCTTTCCTGACGCACCCAATAAGCCGTGGCAAAATGGCCACTCTCATGTAGCGAATCAGTTTTACGATGCTAAGGATGATTGGTATCCTACTTGGGACGATGAGAACAGTGCACTTCAGATTGACTCAGTAAGAGTGTGGACATACGATGATAGTCCTCCTGAGTCTTCTGCTGGGATGATGATCTCTGCCTCTACTGCTCTTCTCATCATTCTGACTGCATTGGTCCTCCTCTTTGCTGCTAACTAACATTACAAATGTACATGCTTTTCTATTTAAAATAATGCTTTTTATTGTAGACTTGCTGACTCCTGCTGCTATTACCAATGCTATCTTTTCTTTTTTATAATGCTGCTTCACACATTATTTATTTTTGCCAGTTATAGGACTACAATGTAATTTTAGACTAATACTATTGTTTCAGTAGATCAAATTCATTATGCAAATATCGTGTTGGTCTTAACAATATTCATAGTGAAACACTACACCAGCAACTGCTGACACGCATAGATACAAGTAAACACATGAAAATATTAAAACAAATGAATCAAATTACATGTACATGTAGTCTACAAGAGACCACACATTTACTGCAACTACTATAACTCCTTCTACTCTTCTAATTACTACTTGCTAAGGATGGGAAATCCTTCTTGCTCTATTTTGATCAGGATCAGCTCAAACATTCTACACATTACAAAGCTACTGTATGCATGTGTAATGGGTATACATGTACATGGATGTATACCACAGGATGCATATGTTATAAAAATGGAGACTTCTCTCCTAACCATTTTTGGTAAAATGTGGATTTCTTTTATGACCTTTGAAATTGATTCACTATATTAGTAGTACTACAACACTACATGTAGTATTATGTACATGTACATGTACATATGTATGATTACTGAACTCACTGATACAGTTAGTTTTCTTCTCCCAGTGTCAGCTTGTTTCAGTAAAGAAGTCAATTGTAGAAAAGTAACCTAATGGAACAAAACATTAATACCATAACCATACAGACGGAATATAATGTACACTGTACATGTACAATGTAGATACCGTACAGCTGGTTAATTTTGCGGAGAAAAATTTTGCGAATCGTTAAAAATAACCTGGTTTGCGGATTAAATATTTGCGGTTTTGACAGTTATTGTAGCATTATCTACTGTGGTCATGCATGAATTCATTATTTTGCGGATTTAAATTTTGCGTTTTAAATGGAATCGCAAACTCGCAAAATTTAATTCCCCGCAAATATTTCCAGCTATACGGTAGTCGCAGAGAATTAAGGTTTGAAAATCAGGTAACAGGCGGGCAACTACCACTATAAATTAAATCTGCCATTATGCCTTATTCTTCACATGTTCAATGACATATACATGTACATGTAACTGCTCACCATATGCATGCACATGTAAAATCTGCCAATTTTAAATTGTCTTACAAATATCTCACTGATACTCTGTACAGTAAATCTAAAATGGGTACAGGTATCTCCCCTACCTTTCCCTTGTCCTGACTGATGACAAGGTGATTGTGACGTGGTGACACAAGAGTAGCAAGAGCACAGCGTCTAATGACCCTAATACCTCCTCCAGTCCCTGTACCTCCTCCATTGTTCAGTAACTGCTTCAGGAGTTGACCTTGTTCCCCGGACATTGTTAGCTTTATATTGTCCAGTGCATTCTCTTGACAGGACACAACGTTAAACTAAAATAGAAAAATATAAAACATGTAACAAATAATATTAATATTGTATACTAACATACAGTGCATTCTTTATAGACTGTAGTGTAATTCTCTATTGTAACTTCATACTACATGTACATTTGCATATTGTATTGAAATTAATTTTCATGGATTTTATAATTTTTTTTGCAATTTTAAGACTTGGAATTTTTGTACTTACAGCCATCATTGCTCTACCTACATGTATATACACGTACATTTGTATTACATGTACATGTACAATAGTACATGGATCCACTCACCAGTATATTATCGACATGCTCTATCCTTTTACTGCTAGTGTGGAGCTCATTAATGGCAGCCTCAACCACAGAGGAACTTCCCATTGATAGAGAGGAGGCAGTAGTGAGGACTGGAGGGAGCAATAGAGACAATAGATCAAGACAGCAACTGGGCACAGACCAATTCACCTACAATTTAGATAAAATAAATACACAGTTAGTTATGCGTACATTGCATACATACAATGTAAGTTATAGTCCAAAATGTAGCAAACTAGGAAAATTTTTTAATTTGTTAATTATTTCTGATGCTCATAACTCAACAACAAACAAGTCAGGAAAAATTAGGGTGACTAATTTGGACCCAATTTTAAGAAAAGCTTACATGTATGCCTACATGTACATACATTGTATGTATATGCTTTATGCTTTTTCAGACAAAGCAAAACTCAAAAATTCTTAATTGAAATCGGTTTTATCTTTCTACATGTACATATACATGTACAGCATCAAAAATTCTAACTTATATATTTCAGATGCCTACTCTACATAATAATTACAAAATGTACTTACGAAATATTCATGAAGCTGTTCTTTATAAGTTTCCACTTGATTGACAAGTTTATTAACAAATGAAGTAGGGAAGTAAGAGTGTCCAGGACTCTGTCTCTTAACATCAGTTGGTTTCTTAGTATCAATCAGTGTCACACCACCTATTGAGGCCTTCTTTGTACTTGATCTATTAACAATAAAATAAAATAATAATTACATTGTACATGTACATGTATGTACATGAAAATTTATAAAAATCCTAATATTCAAATAAACACTGTACACATGTAAATATTCATAAATCAATCATCATAATGTACATGTACATGTACATGCATGTGCATCATGTTAAATAAATTTGTACATGTACATTGGTATAATCCTAAAAATTAACTACTTTCTCAGATCAATTTTCATAAATTTTGCAGTAAATTTCATCATACATAATACATGTCTTTACAGCTTCAAATTTTGTGGTCTTATGCAATATGCATAAGTAGAAAGTCAAAATAAATTGCCTACAAATTCTTCATGAAATATGTACATGTACAGCAGCTAAACCATCTCTCTCTCCCTCTCTCCCTCTCACTTTGTTCCCTTCTTCTTCCTCTTGTGTCTTCCCCCGGTGTGTTTGGGTGCTATGGAGTGGCCGGTGGGTTCTCCAAATGACGAGTCATTGTCCTCTGACTTGCGTCTTCTTTTCACCAGAGCCTGTAAAGTGGGTGTAGTTACATTATATAACGGTATTATATTATTGTCCTACTTTACAGCTCCCGTCTTCTTTGGCTCCACAGTCACAGAAAAATGAGCCAAGCTTTGAGTAGGTGACATCATGACCCTAAGCAACATAATGAAAGCAATGATAAATACATATACATGTAAATAATATTAAGTGATAGGTATACATTGTATATGTACAAATGAATTTTCAAGGTATTCAAGGTAATAGGTACACGTACTGTACATGTAATGTATGCAATTTTCAAGGTGCTAAATTTTGTGGAAATCAATTTTTACATTTTAGTTCTGCGAGCTAATCTGTTAAAGATTGTAATACATGTACGTGTATCTTGGCTCAAAAATTGTAAAATTGTAAATCCAAATGATGTGACAATTTTTATACATGAACAATTACCTTAAGCCTACTATTATTTGCGTCTACTAATTTTAGTGAAATCAGCAAAAGTCATGTTTAGCGTTACTAATTTTAGCGTTTTTAACCAAATTAACTATAAATAATAACCATTATAATGAATAATTATTATTTTGGCGTCTATTTAATTTAGCGGTTTAAAGCTCACTCGCTAATATAGCTAAATTTAGTAGACGCTAAAAATAGTAGGCTTAAGGTAATCATTATCTACTTGCTGCCATACAAGTAGATAATAGTAGATAATCATTATCTACTCAATGCATTCAGCTTAACAAGTTGGACACTGTAAAGATTGTGGGACTTATATTGACTAAAATATACGTATCTATACTTGGAGATTCTTAGTATCAGGCGTTTATTCAAGCCCGGCCTTTATTTGAACATTTACGGTACTTACTGCCCTACCCTAACTCACCTTATGGCAGACTTTAACACAGATGCTACAGCAGCCAGTCCCATCAGTTAGTTTGCAGGTGTGGCAGTGATACCAGTGCTGGTTCTTGAAGTCTCTCTTAGTCTCTGTGAACGTACACAGCTTCTCATTGAGACCCTCCTCTTCCTAATATGGCAATTATCATGTAACAAGGTCGTGTACATGTACATGTAACTTACGGAGCATTCGTTTTCTTCTTCATCAAGTAAGGCAGAGTCATCCTCTTCCTCTTCGATCTATAGTCGTCATGGTAACAGTCATGTGAGGATCATGTGACTTACCAGTATTGTGTAATCATCTTCGGCAGCTAGAGCTCTTCTCTCGGTACATGCCTCCCTATTAATTAATTATTCATAGTGGGTGTGGTTGGGGTTAATTACTTGTTAGTGAGTAGTTGTGCTGCTGAGGACAGGCTGGACACATAGTTGAGTACTGTGTACAATGGCAACAATATCTAACAAGGAAATGTAATAAAATAATAGGACATAGATATGTACACACATGTACATACACATATGTACATTTACATACACATATGTACATTTGTACATACGTGTACATGTACAATGTACATGTAAATTAATTTAGGCTATGCACAATCTACACTTAAAAATTTCACAAGAAAATTGAATTATAGGAATTTAATTTTTTGTGAAGGAGCAAAAGTCCAAATTTGTAATAATTCCCAAAACATGTACATGGACATGCTGCAATACATGTACATGCATATGTTGCTGCTCTTACTTCATTATTATTCTTCCATTCAGTACTGTTGTTCTTAACCAAATCAAAACTAAAAAGAGAAAGAGAGAGAGGGAGAGAGAGAGACATAAAATACAAACAATATTAATAAGATACAGTTACCATAATGGTAGCCAGTCAGAGGCAGCTCTAACTAGTTCAAGATGTCCTTTCTGTGATCTGTTCCCAGCCAGGAGGACACAAGATTGAAAGTAATCCTTGAATATCGTGTACTGCTTTCCTTCCAAGTGATGGAGTGTCTTAATGAGGTCCTTACCAATTGGAATCAAATTGATTAAGAGGACTTGAGAGAGATGAGAGGAAATACAGCTAGCGGAGAGATAAGAGATTAATAAAAATACATGTACACATGCAAGTATGAACATATATAAAACCAACCATGCATAATAAAACATGGCCAAATAATTTAAGCCTACATGTACATGTACAAATTATTCAAAATTTCCAGCTGTATGTATGGCGATACAAAAAATGGCAAAAAATTAGCAAATTGTAAACTTCAAATGATCAAAAAATAGTGCCTAAAATACAAAGGTACATGTAGATGTGTACATACATGTACATGTATCTTAAATACACTGTATCTTGCACATGTATACATGTACATGTATTATATCTTGCTATACAATACATTACAGTACATGTACCTTAAGGTTACTTTTAAATACAGGTACTATTAATTGCGAATTTTACGTTTGGGTTAAAAATCGCAATTATTAATACGCGCAATTATTAATAATGACATCATGATGCCATATGACTATTAGTAATAATTACTTAATCACAATTTTTAATACCAGCAAAATCTACCTTGTGCTAAAATTGCAAAATTTAGTACCCACAATTAAAAGTCATTCTAAGGTATATCTTGCTATACAATACATTACAGTATGTGTACATGTACATTGAATCCCTACCAGTCCTCTTTAGTGAGTAGTTCAATGATGCGATAGAGAAGGTTAGTGTGGGCCAGTGAGTCAGTGACACTGTCACTAACACAACCAAGAACAATACGCTGTAGGAGGGACACCAGCTGGTCCTGTGGTACCATAGAGAGTCTAGCAATCTAACGGGAAAATAAATAAATAAATAAATAATAATAATAATAATAACTACATGCGTAGATGAATGTATGTATCCAAAAAATGTAATAAAAATTGAGGGTGATTTTGGAGCCATTATTTGGAAAAAAACCATGGGCTATAGCCTTGGGTAATGTTCAACATTTTGGCACTTTCTTAAAATTGCCGTAACTTTAAAAATTGAAGTCGGAATCAGCTCAAACTTTCTACACAGCATAAGTATGTCAATATGTATCAGAAAATGTAATAAAAATTGAGGGTGATTTCGGAGCCATTTTTTGGAAAAAACCATGGGCTATAGCCTTAGGTAATTTTCAGACTTTAGCTACTTTTTAAAAATGGCCGTAACTTGACAAGTTGAAGTCGGAATCAGCTCAAACTTTCTACATAGCATAAGTACATCAATATGCATTGGAAAATTTAATAAAAATTGAGTTTAATTTTTAAGCCAATTTTTGAAAAAATCATGGGCTATAGTTTTTGCTTCTTTCTAAAATTTGCTATGTGTACATGTACATGTAGTTTTAAAAATGCTAATAACTCCAAACATAGCATAAGTACATCTCCCTATGCCTTACTTGTCCACAGAGGACACTGAGATGATCATGGGGCTCCTTGTTAGTCAGTTCCAATATTTTTAAAAATAATTTCAAGCCTTCAGTCAGTGAAGAGGTACACAGTGAGCTCAAGGAACATAAGGAGAGAAGATCAGTAATGTCTACTGAAGAAAGAAAGAGAGAGAAATAAATGAATTAGGGGAAAAAAAGAAGGTAAAATATTAAATACATTAAAATACTATAGCTTGATGCTTCTATGAGGGTTTTTTAAGCATGTACTTTAAAACCTGCCAGTCACCAGAAATTACCCAATTTTACCCCTCCAAAATTGCCTGCTATAAGATACTTTATACAGGCTTAATGTACATGTATGTAGTGATGATTGTAGTCCAGGCTACACATGTATACATGTAACTGATACACTTTTTAAAGGATACACAGTAAGCTCTCTTATAAAAAAAGTTCATCAATTTTGCTACATACATTATTGATTCATAATTACTAGTTACTAAAGGTGCCATTAAAACTGGTTATTAATATCTATATAGTTACTTGTTGGTGGAGAGATGGTGTCCAGTTCTGCCAGTATAGGCCAGTAGGGGGAGGAGTCGAGTAAATTGTTCAATAAAATAAATAAATCCTCAAGCAGAGATCCTTGGAATGTATGGCCACCCAATGGAGGACACTGAACCAACTGGAAACAATTAATTACCTAATGAGGGAATGAGAAGAAATGAACTCAAGCAAACATGTTTTAAGCAATATTTTTGCTCAATACGTGTACATTTAACTTACAAACTATACCACATAAAAATGAATATGCAAAATTTGCAATTTTAATTTAGGCAGCACAGCAAAAATTGTGATTAAAACATGTACTTTTTAATTCTCACAAAAATAAACTGATATAGTGGAATATATTACAGCATACATGTCATGTACATATTAATAATTACTTTTTGCTTCATGCATTTCAAGGCAAAAGATTTCTCATCAAACAGTTTTGCCATCTCTCTCAGAGGAGCCTCAGAGACTCCGCCCCCAGACACGCCCTTATCCCCTTCAACAGCAAACTCCAGCAACAGATCCATAGCAAGAGGAACAATACTCTCGGAAAACTTTGAAGAACTATCGGCAGGCGAGAGAGAGAACAAATTATGTAGGAGTCCAGATACTATGAACAAATTAGATTTTAAAGAATTGTTAGGTGAGAAGGTACTACGACCACTTATAGCTCTCAGAGACGAGTGCAAGAACCCGAACATCTCCTCAATAATATCAACTTTGTCTCCTACTCTGTTACACAAGGATCGCTCCATTATCATCGCCGAGTTCCATATTTTCAAACGCTCAGACATTGGTACCGGAATGTGTCTCACAAACAGGTCCTTGGTATGAGGGAGCTTTCCGTTTGATCCAAACACCAATAGCTTGGTTCCTGAGAGACCGAGTATGCTCTTTATAACATCAATCATGTCTTTAGCGTGATTCTGATCAGGATTAAATATATCAATACATATGCCATGATGAGAGACAGAGAGGATTAGCTTTGAAACTTTGAGTAGCACAGGAATGAGAGTTTCAGCGTGAGAATCGTAAAATGATTTTTTGAGTGTTTCCTCAGGACTAGGAGTAGTGTCTTCCTTTTTGTCTTCTCCTTCTCCTTCTCCTCCCTCTCCCTCTTCCTCCTCCTCCTCTTCCTCCTCAACTTCAATCTCTATATCTTCTTCTTCTTCTTGTTCTGGTAGTGTAGTTCTCTCCTTTATTGTTCTTTGTAACAAGCAGAGTAACAGATTGAGTGACATTATGGATATCAGAGGAAGAGAAGTAGCAGAAAAATCACCTTCACATAACTACAATGAGGAAAAAAGAGATAAAATTTAATACAATTATAACAATAAAACATGTATTCATTATAGTATACAAAAATATACTGGAGTATACTGAAGTTTACTGAAAGATTACTGACCTTGTCCAGTACACTGGTTGCTAGTGTTATAAAGTGATCAGTTGAATCAACCACTGACATCAATCGACCGACCAACTCTTCAGATTTATCTGAGGGATATCCTGACTCATTGAGAGTATCCTGAGAAATTATTTTAATTAATCAATTAAAAATTAAAATTAATTGACATACTATGATGTCTTCAGTGTCTGATTGTTGAAACTTTAACTTCATTGAAAAGAGAAGAACTAAGATAAGCAATGAGGATCCAGACTCAGTCTAAAAGAGATAGAGAGATACATGTACAGTATATGTATGTACCAGCAGTATGCATGATTACTATGTACATATACAATGTCCATGTACATGTCACACAAGTACACATATATACATGTACATGTACATGTATACATGTACATGTACAGGACATGTACACTGTATGTGTATTTTCATTAATAGTTTATTATGTATTTTATCATAAAAAAACAGTACTACATGTAAATGTACGCAATGTACATGTACATGTACATGTATGTTATTTGTACAATCAGTCAGTTACTAACCTTACAGTCCAATAGTTGATTGCTATCATTGAGTATAGCAGTCAGTACAGAGTAAGGTGGAGGGAGACACACTAACATTTGTAGCAATATATCAATGCACTGGTAACCAGCACACGCAGACTAATGGGCATTAAATAGAATAAACATGGGCAATAATTAGAATAACTCACGGTGACCCTACAGTTGAGGTTTTCATTATAAAGCCGATAGTCCAATCCACAGGACATCAATGATATGAGGGACTTGTGGAACCGATCGTACCCTCCACCCATGCCTTCTTTACCCTCTTCTGTCTTCTTAGGAGAGTTCAACAGTATCTTACAAGCATCAGGATCAACCCCTCTCTCCTCCTTGGAGTCACTGGAACCATCAGGAGGTATCACATTGTAGAATAATGGATGGACTGCTGAAATAATAATAATACATGGAATAATGATAATAATAAAGATGATACATGTACATGTAATAATGGTTTCAATAATTGGTGTAGCTTAGTGTTTTTACATGTACATGTACATGTGTAATTACATGTACATGTACACTGTACATCAACTTTCTTTATTCTTAAGATATCATGACATGTATATGACATGCATCATTTATACTGTTAATTATTTACCTACATGTACATGTACATGCATGTACATAAATGTCATTTTAATTTAGCATTTTAAATGTGTGTACATGTACATAAATATCTAGAATTAAAAGTGCATGTACATGTTGTACATACTTTCATTCTTTTTCTTCTTATTATTATCAACAGTGGGTGTGGTACCAGTAGGTGTGGCAGCAGCCACTGGAGTGAGGAGAGGTACTGGTGGTTTATTGATACTTCGCTGATACTGATACTCTTGATCACACGGGAATGACATGATATCAGCATGATCACTGATTAGCGGACTGACCAATAAATCAGATAATAGATTACAATCAACCTATTAAAAAAGGGAGAGAGAGAGAGAGAGAGAGAGGGAGGGAGGGAGAAAGAGAGAGAGATGTATATGTAAAATTACATGTACAATTAAAAGTGGTCAAACCTGTTGCACTAGTTGTTGAACTGGTTCATTAAACCTGAACACCATGTACTGTAATACCAGCAACAAACGACAGCATGGCAATGGAGGGACAACATATCCTGACCTGCATATCAGTAAAACTCAGTAAAACAAAGGCAAAAATTATACATGTAATTAAGGAACAGTTACATGCTTCATTAAGTGACATGATCAAACATTCATGTTTTATCGTGTAATCAAAAATATGATTTTTACTTTTAAGTTATGCATATGTTTCCTGAAACATGATCATGAACTATGCAATAACATGTTCATTTAGAAATGCACCCAGGAAAAAACACATGCATGTTTGTACATGTACTCATGTACCTGCATGCTTAATGCATGTTTATAACATGTACTAGCCTGTTTCTGCATGTTTGTGAATTGTGACATAATGTTTCTGAGAAGACATTCTATACTTCAGAAACATGTCACAAACATACATGTACCTGTACATGTACAGGCAAATGTTCAGGCACACATACATGTACATGTATGTAAATAACACTTACATGTAAATGTACATGTAATGCTTATAACCATACTGAATCAACTATGCACATAATAATGAAGCACTAAGGTGCAATGGACTCACCTGCTGGAATTCACCTGAGTGATATGTATTACTTGTACTGTGATATTTTAAGCAATTTGAAAAAAATTATTATTATTGACTGCATAGTTTAATATAATGATAATTAAAATAAGCTATGGGTGTGGTCAACAACTAACTAAATCATGGCACATGGGTAGGAGAAAGAAGAAAAGCTAAAATTTATTTTAGCATCTGAAGCTCTATTCCAAGAAAGAGTTGGCACAGAAAATTTTTCTAGATATTTAAAAGAGGCTGAGAGAGTTTGGTTGCTCCTGCTTTCCCCAGTGCCGCCTGAAAAATTCTCAAAGAGGCTAAATCACAAACTTTGAGCAACTGTAACT